GACATAACAGAGGTTGTCAGCCACATGATAAAACCTCAAATTACAGAGGTGGTTTCACCTTATGAGTTGACACATACTTCTTCTGACACTGGATATGACATTTTACAAGTAAAATACAGCAGAACTAGCTGTTAAGTTATATTTAACATCGAAAACCTAAATCTCTTCATTAAATTGAACCCATGCATTATTCCTATCTGAATTGTGTTTACAAGTAACTTCAATGTATAAACAACAGGTCCTAACCTGGAAAATAAATCTTCCATAAAAAGTTGAACCACTTGTCATAAGGATTGCAGTTTTGTTTGTATCAATAAACCATTTAGGTATCACCAAAATTTAATTCCTCCTGTGCTGGGGAAAAATAACCTTGTTTTAAAAGTTCTAAGTTTTACATATATAACATTTTTGTTGGTACTGTCATTTTACACCAACAACACTTATCCTCCCTTTTTGAGAAACTCAGGAGCAGTATATATTGTGGCAGCTTGTAATGTGCATATAGCAAAGAAGAGGGAACATGGCAAGTGCAGAATTCCAAAAGGCAAAAGTATTGTTAAAAGTGTAGCCTTGACTCTTGCAAACTAACAAATAAATTTCAGAGGATTATATGGCCTTTTCACACTGAGCATTATATCTTACATGTAGCAATATGGCTGTAATGGGTATGTTATGAGTTGTTCTACAATGCAATTACTCTACAGGAGACTTATAACTCCCCTTCACAAGTGCGACTACAAGAATATACTGCTAAAACTGGTCTCATGAGCTTTCCTGCAGACCAACAGGTGACAGCCATGTTTGTTCAATTCTTAACCTGCCGATATAAACCATCACACATAAAAACTTTCTTATGGGTGTTGAGTCACAAGTACAAGATAGCAGGGTATTCAGACCCCCTCGAATATAATACTCGACACAAAAAGGCCTTAAGAAATTTCTCTGACAAAGATGTCCATATTGCAGTAGATATTTAAGAGAGTACAGTAAAATGTAGAGTTTTAATTACAAAAATTTATATGTACTTTAAAGAAAAGTAGAGCCCAATTTCAGTCTCACTCATGTTTATGTCTTGTACTGCAGACAGAAGTGTAATGCTTAATAATCAGGTCCTGAGAGGCTTAATGCGGTTTTCAGTAATATTTTCACATTTCAAATTACAGTGAAAGTTAGAGTGAGCTAAGAAGTTGAGGAACATGCTTAAAATGATCCTATATATGTCACTTATTCAAAAGTGGTTATTTGATGAACCTCAGAAAAATGTTCAATAACCAACCCGTGATCTCTCAGACGACCACATGCAATTTTCAATCACTTGAACCAATCAAGGCATGCAACTAACGTCAAGAGAAAAAAGTCAATAGAGATACCAAAAATACATGTGTAATTAAGGCTACAGACACCACACCAATGCAGGTTGATCTAATTTATCTGGATCTTTTCACGAAGTATATCAGAAGTATCCCAGTCAGTGCACAGTGCATCAAATACATATGTAACAAGTAATGACACATGAGATATCATCCAATTCATTTTCATCTATTTTATACTTACATTATGTTCTTCTTCATAAATTTTGTTTACCAAGGCATTTCTAATTCTAACCTTTGAAGGTCTACAGACTCACAGACAGTTTGTCGTTAAAAATCAGATTAAATATGTCTCACTACTAACACTGCCTTAATGTATTCTCAAGTCAGGTAATAATGCCCTGTACTTAGTAACATGCAAGGACGGTGTTTGAAAGACTTTTAGATATCACTTTTTTAAAACCATGCATACAGTGAAATATACAGGTATACTTAAACTCTTCTTTTCATCTATTCATTTCATTTTGTTGGGCTCTTATTGGTTTATCAATACGTTACAGTTCACATATATAAGAAATAATATATCCTTTTTTCATTTTCTATAAACATCTTTGAATATTTTTAGTGTCTTTGTAGAATTCTGAATTGTACTAACAATTACAATATTTAAAATAACGCTGAACAATAAACCAATGACAAAAAGGAAATCTGATAGAAAATTCTCACATAAGAATTCTTAAATACACTATAAATGAGCATTAAGCAAATGCTGATGAATAAACACTGTCACATCCCCATAACAGGGAACATCTTATATGACACAAACCATCCAAAATGTGATTGGTATTCCTAGCACTTCAACTATTTTTGTAAATGCAATTTTCAAAACAGAAATCAATACGAGCCTTACCTGTCAAAATAAGTCATTTTCAAGACAGAAAACAATATATACCTTACCTGTCCAAATAAGCTGTAGGTAATCACATATTACATGTTGCCACTAGGCTCCATGCTGTAATGTACAGTCTGGGTAGTCCCTTATCAACAGAACAATCTCACTGTGGTTGGTTGGTGGGTTTGTATCTCCATAACGTGGCCAGGGAGAATAATTCATGATCTGGGTCAGTGAGAAAATTAACCTGCAGTTGTCTCACCTGAAGTACCACCCTGGTGCTTATACCCTACACTAAGGACCCTAATTATGACTACCCTCTAACAAGTCAAAATGCTAAATGAGATATCAAATATGTGTGAGTATCAGGGTAAAAGTACTACAGTCTCCCACTGCAACCTACAATTATGTGTAATTACCTTCTACGATATAAAAGAATGATAAATTTAATGTCTTCGTATATAACAACTGACCACACAAGTCCTGACTGTTTCCCCCGACTCAAACTGCCTTAGATATCAAGGTACTGGTCTGCACTGCTCAAAGAAACTAACTTCGTTTAAAAAAAAATTGACCAAGCATCACCCAGAAGAAGTACATTGTATATTTTCTCTGAATGTAGCAACTAGTTCTTTTTCGACAAAAAAAAAAAATATATATATATTGCTTTTGTAGACTAGCTACCCGAGATTTATCCTGTGGCCAAGAACGAGAAGAAACTTAATCATAATACGGAAAAAAACTTTTGACTCCAGTTGTTTTGTAAAACAAGTCCCTAATGGACCTACACAACATCATTACAACAATATTGGTTCCTCTGGATGGAGGACTCACCTAGAAACACTGATATCCATCTGTGATAACGCCACATTAACAACCAGTCAAGTGAAGATTACGTGAACTAAGAGAACCTGCTACAGAACAGCATCACTTATATTTTCATCAATAATGTTGTCTTATTATGACTCAAGAGATTGTCCATTATGGCCCTAATGATATTAATATCTGACTACACAAAATTAACTTCTTGCTGATATGTGCACTAGTAGGAGGACAATCACCTATATTTAATGAATTTCCCTTCAAAAATCAATGCTTTATCAGCATATCCCAGTGTATAATCAAAACTGAAATCCAATCAGGTAATTCCTTCCTATAAAGAATCTGAACAGAGGAAATAGGGCGTAAAACCAATCCAATTTATATAATCAAATGTAACAATGTCAATCAATAATCAATAAATGAGCTAAAAGTATTGCCCTAAGGCTAACCCTTAACATTTGATACTTGCATTTCAATATTGATGATATTTCCAGCAGTGCCATTGTAAATTCCTATGCAAATACAGTTTTTGTCTCGGGGTAATTTTGATCAAATTGCTTTTCAATTTTTTTCCTTTCATGATTACATACTGACAGCTTGGGTTCTATATAAGCTCATTTATCACTTTATTATATTGTAATACTTAAGAATAATTAAGCATTTCATTATACTGCTAATTAGAGTAATTTAAAACCAACAAATTGCAAATAAGTTGGTATTACAGTCAATGTAATGTTTAAATTTATAACTCTGTGGTTAGATGCCTTCTTCCTGGCATCTAACAGCTTTTACAATGGGCAAATACTATTAGTTATGCATGTTATGAATAAATGATCAATACCAAGTCAATAAGATAACCTCACCTAGAACAATATATCTGTCAAACTGAAAATCTTATCCATAATAATTCCACAGTAGCTATATTTCTACTAACAATTACAATAATTTTATGGTGCCCTCCTTTAAACATCTCATATCGTATATCAAAGCATTTTAATGGAAAATATGCAGCTTAAAAGACTGTGATTTTAAGACATTTGTTTTACCACATTTACCTTCAGTTGACCTGGTGTTTACCAAATTTTTATGTTCATAGCTATCATTAAAAAGGCATTTCCAATGAATAATTTTTCTTTCTCTCTTTTTCTTTCTTTGCATGTTTATATTTTATATTTTTTATAATAATTATTCTAAAATTCTAAATTACCAAGGCTATTTTTTCTTCTCATTGTAATGTTATTTAACATGCATTCTTAAAAAAAAAACTATATATTTTCATTAACTTATTCCTTTAATTTATTTTTCTCCTTTTTAACTTATTTTTGTTAATATGCAGCTGTACGAATATCACGGATATCACAGTATCAATCCATTGATAAGACTGCAACTCAGTGAGTTGACGTTATACACAAAATGTTAAGAGCACTGCAATAATAATAAAATATTTAATGAAACTAAATTAAAAATTGCTACTGGGGCTTTAAAACTACTGCAAGTGGTATAAAGTAGTACATTTAAGTGCTCTTTTACTTCATATGTTCTTTAAAATATTCAATAGTTAAATCATTTAACTATTGAAAATTTAAAAGTGCATCTTTAAACTTTACTACATCATATCAATTGTTGGTTCTTAAAAAACTATTGGATTGCTCAATTAAAGTATGATTAAGTTTGTCAGAGCTTTAAGTTATTTTGTGAAAGAAAGTATTGCACAGGCAGGGTCAGAACTTCATCATAGCTTTTCACGAATTCAAAAGATTAAATTTAGGTAAATTGAGAAAAAATATCTTCAATGCTCAACTTTAGACAAACTCTAAGTTTAAATGTGTTGCTCTGATAGTGCACACAGTGTCAGTACTTTGGTAAACTCAATCATTTCTATCAGATTTCAAAGGAAATGATGGGTCCTGAAGCTTCTCAAACCAAAATACATATAAAACCTAGCAATGTTTTCTTCATAAGTAAAGCACGCATACCTCTCTCTTCAGTTTCCATTCTACTTCCCCAGCAGCCTTCATTTTGTTTTTCAAAACAGCTTGTGGTTGACATTGACATGATATATCCACGCAACTTTTGTGTGTCCAATATTTTCCAATCGTTTCCGATTTGGTTCCTAGCTCAGACTGTGTCCTTCTTACTTTATGGCGCATTTCTTTACTCTTTAAATTCTGTCCAACACTCCCCAATTTAGCAGGACAGCTGCCTGAAACATGCGGTTTTCCAAACTCTTGAACTTCATCCAGTGAAATCCGGTGTTCAACTGGGGGAAGAGAGAGGCGATGGCTCCGTGGAAATATTTCCTTAAAAGACATGGTATATATCTTTAATAAGTACGACAATCTGTGTACCGTGTTCCAAGCAGTTAAAGCGCATCATACCGTGAGGCAGTTTGGGCTGATACTGTAAGACTGCACTTCGCACCAACCAACTTGGAAGAATACACTCGGCCGCAGGATAAGGATATGGGACATTTCATTACTTATCTCTATTTCGCTGCGTATTTTCGGTCATTCCTGTTTCTTAAATCAATCATCAACTAGAGGGGGTGACACTTGGGTATTATGTGATAATACGACATGATAATGAGTCAGCAGTGCAAAGGAAACGAACGGAGATATCTACCCGCAGGCCCCCACGGACTCGTGCTTCCCAACCGGTGCCAACTTCCTGCTTGGTGTGAGAACTCATTGTCAAGACAAGATTATTTTTTAATTTCACCTTAGTTTTGTTTGATCTGTGGCTTGCGTTTTTGACGTTTGTCTCTATGGCAATTAAATTAGAAAGAAGTGTCTTTGCGGTTAAAAAATGTTAGAATTAACGTGAGAGGCGTTCTGCCGTCGTAAACTGTCTCAGCGCTGCAAGTTGGCGTAGCCGGCGTCCCGGCCACAGAGCGTCGTCGTGCTCAAACTGGGAGCGTCTCGATAGTCCGAAGGTCCATTGGTCAGAAGGTTCATTGGTCCGAAAGTGGTAACATTTTTATCGATTTTTTTATCAAGGGTTCATTGGTCCGAAGGTTCTATAGTGAACATTCGGACCAATGGACCTTCGGACTATTGAACCTTTGGACTATCGCTACGGCCCCCTCAAACTGCCATGACAAAATTTGTATTGTAGTTTAACGACATCTAAGTGGCTTTTTGCCAACGTTTTATCATAACTGTTTATTATATGGTGATAATCACTTTAATAAACACAAAACCAAATCCTGCCAAGTTGAATTTTGATTAGCGCGTCTTTTTTACAACGAGTTTCTCCGTAGTCATGTCTCGACCTTCTTCGTTTTTCCTCAATAAAACAACGAATAATACCGAGTTAAGCACAAGTATAAAAATACCTTAACTTATTATCAGTTTACCCCTTCTCATATAAAGTTTTATTTTAAAAGACTCCCACTCCGCCAAAAATAGACTCAGTACCCGGTAGGAGGACCTGATCACGGAAAGTTTGAGTCACGTCACACAGGCCCCACTACATGGGTCTCAGCCCACCAATCAGGGTGCAACCAGCACGCACCTCAGTGGCTCGCGTAGTATCTGTTACCTTTTGGCACAGTGTTTTCAACCTGTTCAGGAACGTGAACAGTATTTTTCTTAGTCAAAAGTCCGCTTTTCTAATTTACAGAACCAGAGTTAGTAGATCTAAACCCTGGTCCACTTTGGCTGGTTTGTGCTGGTCAAACTTGAACTAGAGTAACATTTGTGCTGCTTATAAGACGGGAAAGTTAGCTGCAGAACAGTGCGCCAAGTCCGTAGGAGATAATATGCGTGCAATTTAAAATCTCATTTTAGAAACAGAAGTCGTGAAGGAAGTTTAAGGCGCAAAGGCTTACTTACTCATTTGTAAATTCATTCACTTGTTCATGCACCTTACATGGTACATTAGAATAATTATTTCCAAGGAAAATTCCACATCGGGGAAAATCCCAGATAAGATGCCTTTAATATTATGGGCAGGGTTTGGTCAAATTCAGGTTTAAACTTGGAAAAAACTTTTTAGGCAGGTCTCTGTATCCCATGTTTGAAAAATAACATCAGGTGTGAATTTTAAATGTTTTGATTTTGTGTTGGTATACATAAATTATTTTATAAAAGAATGTTATCCCCACCCCCACCCATGTCAATTTACTTTGTGTGTTTTCAGTAACATAACTTTTTTAGACAATTTTTTCTTGTTTCTGAAAAAGAAATGACAATCATGGGCTTGGAAAATTTTTATCAAAAAATATTTTATTTCCAACTGTTTTTTATCAAAAGGCTGGTTGTCCAACTTGTCCAGCAAAGCAATCTCAGATATAAAGTCTATTAAAAAAACTGTTAATTGGCACGTATCTGAAATAATCCTGAGCTGCTGTAACACTGTCATTGTAGTACCACATAACTGCTACATGCACCCAGGAAACCTATACTATCACATGGAAAAAATAATGTATCATTTAAACTATGTTTACAATTAATATATGGTATACTATAGTAAACCACCCTCTAAGCATGCTAAGATTACTTATTTTAAAATATTTCAATAATACTTTTTAAACTCTGCAGAAGGTACATAATTATCATATAAAATATACTGTAAAATCTTATCATTTTACTTAAGTATATTATATAGCAGCATACCAGTACATAAAGATAACATAAACTATATAAATGGAATTATACATCTATTTTTGCATTCTGCATCTACTTTTGGACTGAGCTGAGGTCATTTAATCCAGTAAAAGGCCATAACAGACATACTACCACCTAGCAATTTCACCCCAAATTTAATAGGCATTAAAAAGCCTTGCCACAACTCGCTTAAGTGTGGAGTTCACCGGGCTGTCATTCACATCATCCCTGCCACTGGAATTGTCAAATCATACAAATAGTATGATTCTGCCCATTACTGGTTACATAAACCATCCAACCATGGCATCCACCATATCCTCATCCATAATGTATTGGTAATCACTGTCCTGAGAAGAAGTGTCTTCCCCAGAGCCAGGTGTACCTAATAGCTCTCTCCAAGCTGGGTAGTTCTGGTGTACAACAACTGGGCTGTGCATTCCACCATCCAATGTGACTCTTCCACCATCCTGAAATGTCAAGATAAAACACATATTCATAATAACTAGAGGATCAGAGCAACGATGCCGCCATTCTGTTTTTTGACCACCAGCAGGATTATGTGAATTCAAGTTGATTGGCAACCATAGAAAAATCTCTCCTAGATTAGGAAATGTAAGGGCAAGAAAATTTGGAAAGTGCATTTTATGGTAGAAAGTATGCCAAAGGTCTAATTCGGGGTCATGCCTAAATTCCCTATATTTGACTTCCTATTCAAGTTCAACAATAACTATGGGTGTATCTCATCTAGCTTTGGCAATATAAGGGTTTAAAAATAAAAAAGTGCCTTTTAGGTGAAAAGTAGGTCAAAGATCAAATTTGAATCACATTTGAATTCCCTTTATATTTCCTATTCAAGATCAATAGGACCTATGATCATTTTTCTACTAGGAGATATGAGGGCTAGAAAATTTGTAGTGCATTTCCTGATGAGAAATAGGTCAAATGTTAAATTCAATGTTAAATGAAGATTGCCAATATATGATCTCCTATTGAAGAGTTAAATAGTAACTATGGGTTTATCTATTTCAGTTTTGGACAAGGGCTAGAACATTGCAAAGTGTATCTCATGGTAAAAAATAGGTTAATGGTCAAATTCAAGGACACATTATGCTTTGCAATACATTGTTTTGTATTCAAGTTCACTAGTAACTAACAGCATTTTTCTGCCAGTTTTAGAGGTATAAGGGCTAAAAAGTTGCAAAGTGTACGTAATAGTGTAAAGTATATGGTGAATACATCTGTACTCACTATCTTTACAGTCCTTCTGACTAGTGTAGCAGCATTTGGTTTAAAGACTTGGTCTGTGTACATGCACTTGATTGATGCACCATCCTTTTCTAGTGATTTACTGGAAACTGGGTACTCAAACTGCTCCTAAAAATGAGACATTTTTGTAACAACAACAAACAAACTAAACGAATGTCAAATTCAACCAAAAAATTATTGTACACGATTTTGGACAACTCACCACTGAAAGACAAAGAAATGAGAGACAACTTACTCCTAAATGTCTGAGCACATGTTTCATCAAAATTTCATTCATCTGAAGTCGCTTCTTAGCCCTTGTAACTGCCACATACAGAATATTGCATTCATCTTCTTTGTGTTCCACTAGAATTAAATCATTTTATTTCATAAAACATTTTTTTTTGTTAATATCAAAATTGAAGTAGAGATGATACAGATGAATATAACAAGTAATGGCAAATGCATTATGAAGTGATTTAAATGAATTGTAATGATAATTTTGCACAAATTAATTATCAAACACATTTTAATTAAATACTTATAAAGAATCAGATCTCAAGCTTTACCAGTGGTGCACAAGTATTGAAAGAAATGCTCACCTGTTTGACCATCTGAATTAATAAGGAAATCATCTGTCAGCTGCACAGTGCTGAACTCCAAACCTTTTGACTTGTGAGCAGTGCTGAAAACCACATCTGGCAAAAAAAGAAATGAAGTCATAAAATAAAAATTGAGCTCAGCTCTTAAAGTTACAATGAAGTAAGTAAAAATCACACCATTCATTTTTATAAATTGGAACAGAGAATAAATGAACCTTCAGTAAAATCTCCATCCAGTAATTACTTGTGCTGTATCAACACAGCACAATGTAAATACTTATCCCATTCAATATATATATTTTTGGAACAGTTTCTCCAAAGTTCTCCCTGGGCTATAAAAAAGTCTCACCTGCAAGCCGCAAATCCCCCACTGTTTTACTAAGTATCTTGTCTACTATGTTTGGCAATCTGTGATGAAATGTCTTCACAATCTTTATTTTTCCCAGCAAATCTGCATCTTCTACATTTTCAGCAAACTTTTCTAAAGCACCGAATGGACATGGCTGCTTCAGAAATTTCTGAAGTAAACGGTTCTTTATTGCTCTGTTTTCTAAAATAAAAATACTAAAGATCAGTTTAAAGCAAAACAATGACTCTGCTTACAAGCTACACTGTTAAAGGATATGTGCATGGGGATGGTTTTGGTATGAACAGAATCTGATGGTAATAAAATCATATATGAACATGTTTTTACTAGCATCATGATAACTGCATCCCTATTGCTACCGTTTAACTTCTCTATCAATAAACACTAGACATTTTATATAATACACAGAACTCATTTTACAAACAATAAGGCTAACAGTGTAATAGCTAATGGAAGTGCTTCTATTACCTACCTTTTTTGCGCTGTTCCTCTGACAGCAGCATGGCATAGATTTCCATTAAGAAAGGGAACCCAAAGCCATCAGTGCCCTGAAAATTAAAGCAAAACTTCATTTAACGAGACGGGTCGGGACTAAATCCATGTGTACCACCAGTGCCTAGTGGTGGTGGTACAATTACGAATATTAAAAAGATTTACATTTACTTCAATAAATCTAACCATATCTCAACAAAATTCAACTCTTTCTTTGTGTAACCCTCAGAAATTGGGTACAAAAGGCCAATTAATTTTTGTAATATCAATTTGATATTCATGATACTGGTATTCATGTTTTCTATTCTTCTTTTGACTTGTACATTCTCATGCTTAACTGTTAACTACAAACTCACCCCTACAAATGCTACCTTCAGATTTTTATCTGTGTAGCAGCACTTCTTTGTCGCCTCATTGAATACAGTGTAGTTACACCTGCACAGTATTGCCAGTTGTCCCTCCTGGTCCCCATAGACACCACCTGTAATGTCCATCAAGGGGAAAAGTAATAATAATATCTCACATTGATTACTCTTACTTTGTGCTTTTTTTTTACTATGGAATAATTGTATCATACCTGGCACACCACTGCCAACCAATGTTTTTGTCTTCTCTTTCTTGAGATGTTCAAGAACACAGTTTGCCACATAGGCAATTTCTGGTCCAAAACGGAATGACTGGAATGTACACACAAATTCGATTAGTATTTTGAAAATGGATTCACTCAACTATTAATTTCATGATCACTTAGTAGACCAGTAGTTAATTCATTATTTTATGAAAATGGACCATCAAATTCAATATAAAATTTTTTATATTATTTTTTTTTATTTCATAATATTAAATAATTTTAAATGCAAAGGCATTTTGCAATATAGTTCAAATATCAACCAATCTATAAATTTTTAACCAGAACCTGTGTCAGGTAGAAAGTGTGTGTATTTTCCACTTGTCTCATGGAATTTACAGCTCCACGGAATGCATAAATTTGCTGGTGGGGGTCACCAACCAATATCTTGGCCTGTGGTTGTCTTAACAATAAGTCAGCTATGGCTGGAATAGAAAAACAATGTATAATAACTTGACATCGTTGTTGTTGGTGTGTGTGTAAAAGAAAAGAATTGAGGGAGGGAAAATGAAATGTTGTCATTCTTAGATGTCTATTTCATCCTTATATACAGTCTGAGATGTAAATAATAGTCCCATGCCAAAGGCCAGTAAAATTGAAGCAAAACCAGTTAAATTTGTTCAGTTACTGAACCCCACTAAAAGTTTTCAGTACAGTCTGTACATAGCTAAATTACTTGTTTTAATCAAGGCACTGTCTCACACATTTGATCAAACTTTTTTCTACTAATATACACATTGTGCAATCCTTCACAATTTTCACATTAACAAATAGCACAAAAACTCACCAGGAGTTAAATCTTGTGCTTCATCTATCAAGATGCAGTCATATTTGCTCAGAACTTTCTCTGGAACTCTGGATAGTTGGAATAGCTTCAAGTAACCATCATGAGGCATGTTCAGTTGACAATTTGATACATTCTTCATCACTTCCCATGCTTTAGAAGCATCTTGTGAATATTGCTTTAAAGATAATGGGTACATTTACCCTTGTGGTAAAACAAATAGGCATTGGAAGTACATCTTTTCTTTTAAGGTATTTTTCACTCTACCAACTGTCCAGACAAGGGGCTGTTTATATTTCATACAACCTTCTTTTAAAAATACATCTGCTTGCTCATGATGACAAAATTCTGGTTTAATAACAATTTATCTATACCCATACATACTGCCAAGAAAATCAAGTAATTACCACTTACCATTTTCTTTTCATGGTCTATATCTTTCGGTTGACCATTTTTACCCATTTCAGTCAACGGTACATGAGCAGTAGTGATGAAGGGATCAGCAGAGTTCATGAAAGTATTGATGGTATCACGCACAGCCTTGCATCTCAAAAAACTGTTAAATCCTTTCAGATTGGGAAGGAAATCAAGCAAATGGCTCACTTTGACATCCCCAAGTTTGGATTTGTATCTGAAGATAAGAACAGTGGAAAAATAAATGCTCATAGCAATATCATATGTTCTGTGTGCAATGAATGTTGAAATGCAATGCATATGTGCATGTACACCCACTAAACAAAAAAATTTTATGACATCTAAAATGATTTGTTGAAAACTGCTTACTTTACACCAAAACTCCTGAATGCCAATGCATGCCCAGTGGTGCTATTCACATTGGATGGGAAGGCACTCTTATTCCGATCACTGACAGCCCTGAATAAGATATGTAAATATGTTTCCAAAATATTCATGGACTACTGCTCAAAGTTTTTCTTACCACAAGCAAGGAAAAAAACACTATACCTGCATGGAGAATGGCCATCTTCAAACTGATAATGAGTACACTGATGCTATAGTTCATACTCTGTTAAAGATTTCAAAAGTTTTTTAAATCACCCAGTCCTAATTTATAAGTGGTTGACAATGAATTTTCTTATTCTTCTTAAAGAACCAATCTAGTTTCAATCAGGTCTTTTTACAGTAAAATTCTACAGAGTTCCGACTTTGGGTCAGTGAACTGGAATCAGTCTGTCATTGGCCAGTGGCATGATGACTCACACTTATGAATGCATATAACCTTAATATTTCAATACACATGTATGTATTTAAATTAAAATAACTTACTTATTGTAGACTACAAGCACAAATGAGGTACTAGGCCTGAACTGGGTGTATCGGATCAAAGTGGACGTTTTTCCAGTCCCTGGAAAAAGGAAAATTGTAGAAGAATTATGAGAGATTATGTTACACAAGACAATGAATTCACCATTCACTGATGATGGCTGATATTGGATTGATTAGACAAAAATGGAACTAAGTTTTCAATAATATTCTAAATGCATTATTTGTCAAAAAATTTGTCCTTTAAATGTTATATCTTTTGGAAATGACACTTTGCAACACACCTAGTAGATAAGTTGAGATCAATGAAGAGCATACACATATGCAAATAAACCACACCTGCAAAGGCAATGATTTTGAGCACATCTCCTCTTGCAACATTGTGATTGATGATTCTTTGTTGTTCATGTGTCATCTTCAACCCTGTTGCTTTGCCATATTTCAAAAGGCTCTGCTGTCCTTTGGATTTTTCAAATACACCAGTCAGGTCAAGCATGTTAGATGTAGTGGAATTCTCATGAAGATACAAGGCATAGTACAGTCTGTAGAGGATACTGAAAGACAATGCGCCTATTACTATCAATAGTTCTACTTTTAATATTTTATACAATTAAAAAAAGTTCTTGTTTGCTGTAACAGCCTTTTTCCTGCCATCAATAATTAGTGCTTACTTAACTCGTTTGAACATTATGTGATAATAAATTTAACTTGTTTCAAAAAAATCTTCACACCCATCCCATCTTGAAATTTACAACAAAAAAAAAATCATGTAAAAGTAACAGATAATAAAAAGTAAGACTAACTAACCCATTCCAAGGACCAGTTGAAAAGTTCTTCTTGAATGCCAGCAATATAACTGCAATGTGATACAAACACTCCACCACCTCATTAGCTGTACACTGGGAGTGAGCACACAGCAGGCACTCTATTACTTCCTCAATGTCATGTACAGTCTCCGAAATGATCACTAGCATTGTGATCAAACTCCATGGATTTGGTACCTGTAAATTATATAAATATGTGTAGAGAGCCTTTATGGAAAATTTGTCACTGAATATTTAGAAATAGTAGACTTTCAATAAATTTTGACGTTTCTTATCTTCATCAACCCAAATATTTAGAAAAATGAAAATTAAAAATCCAACAACCTGGTTTAACTTTTACATAGCAAAGCTTGCCTTAATTATTCCCTTCCTTCATCTTTCAAAAAACCAACCTTCCAGTATGGCATATAATATTGCTTATACAAGTTGAATATGAAGGGCAAACAAACAAATGCAGTATGAAAAGGACTTGCACCAAAAAACTAGACATAAAACACAAACAGGTTGCTTAAACTCTTACTCCATCCACTATGCAGTCCTCCAGTCTCTCCTTCAAGAGATCCTCTGCACATTCATATTTAGTGTGTCTTCTCAGGCACTCTGACATGGTATTGACCCTGACTGTGACAGGTTTATGGTCTTTTAAGTGCCTGTATTCAGAATAGAACACATCTTTATGTATATAATAGAAAAGCAAAAAAAAAAAAAAAAATTTCTAAAAAAATGCCAGCACTTCTTCCAACTTGATAATCTATATGACCTCATTTGACTTAAGTATTAACAGTCTACAATCGTCAAAATAATCCAGATAAAAGTAACTTATCTTACCATTTGACCCATAATTTTTTTTCATTTTAGCTCTTTGTATAGTATGGTCCACTTACCTGATTAATCCCATTAAAAGATCAGGGATTGTTTTCATGTTTCCTTCTACAAGCAAATTTTTGGTGAACTGGATGGCCTTTTCATCATCTTTTTTAAGTTTGTGGTACATCTTTTTCCAAGGTACAAACTGAAAATAAAACAAAGAAATCAAAGGTAAAATATTTTATCAAAATACACTTCAATTATATTATAATAAAGTCAAGCAAATGGTTTTACATGCATGGTATTGTCACTTGGCTACAGCAACAGGCATAACTCAGATAGGGAGAGAGACTTCATCTCAGCAACAGCATCTCACAGTATGTTTTCTACAGTAGACACTCTACTCTGATGTCTGTACAGTCTCCCTCTATCTCTCTCTCTCACTTTATTTGATTTCAATTAGAAACTGGAATGTTATACAAGAGTGTTTTACAATCAATCATCAGTTTACTTGGTGATCAAGTCAGTCTTTGTTAACCCCTTTCTAGGCATACATACAAAAGACCGATTATCATTTACTTTCCTGGAGATCAATTAAGCTGCTTGATGTTTTCAAGTTATTAATCTTTTCCTGACTACTTGAGGCTCCATCTGTGCATTTTCTAATACTCACTTTTTATAAACAGGTTGTGCTTCCAGAGAAACCTTGACAACTTTATTCTGAACACATTAAAATTTGTTTTTGGGTTATGACTATATAATAAAACCATGATGACATTCTTGAGTTTCAGTAATATTTAGAAATACTATCAAAAACAAAACTTGTGTATCAAAGCATGTTTATGTGCAAAAGTATACAGTACAGATATCTTAATTTTCAATTTAAGATTATGATATATTTTTATAAACACAGAAATTATAATTATCATAGATCTGAAAATATTGTTAGGAAACAAATAATTACCCTTTCATCTGATATGATGTCATTCCATTGACTGCAGACTCTGTTGACATTCAGAGCTAAATCCAACATGGGCAGCTGACAGAGTATGTTCTCAATCACTTCAATTGGCAGCATGGAAAAATAGTCTTTATCACTGTCAGTCTCATCTCCAGTCAGGTCAACCTCTCCAGTTCCAAGGAGTCCATACTTGTCACTTAAGTTACCTGGAATAGAAGAAGTACTATACATGATGCCAGCGTTGTGGCAGCTTAAAATGTGGCTGTGCTGGTTGTAGCTCTTCAAAATGCTGCCAAGGCTTTTGGTTTTGATATAAACAATGACTGAGAATAGTAATTACTCGATCTTCAGATACTGTGATAATTTCTTAAAATTAAACCATTAATCCTATTTAGTGGTTGCAACAAAATTAAAAGGCAGGTTACTTCATAGGATCTATTTATGGAATAAAAGCCTCACAAATGCTATTTAGAAATAGTTTTTGTGAGTATAAAATTATGTATCTGAGAGTTTGATAATTTTTGCCTACTGAAACTATCTAGAAATTACCATTACCATTTCATTTTTCCTTAGTTAACTTTGTATGTCTTACCAACTGTTTCATATCTCTGCTTTTCATCTACAGAAGTCTTTTCACCTTTTTGTGGATCTACTTTGGTTGCAGTGTTGGTGCTTCTAGAAAATCCATTTCTTTGAGAACTGAAAACTGTGGCACTATTGCAATCAAAATCATTGCTATCATCATCAAATATGTTTCTTGAAAAATTCTTCCTCTGTGTGCTAAAGCTTGTAGCACCTTTCTTCTCAAAGTCACTGCTGTCATCATCCAGTGCTAAGGTAGGCCAAAGTGTAGTCTTTGATGTTGTTGCATTTACTGGAGACTTTTCACACACATATGTGCCATTTTCAAGTTTCTTGAGGGGAGAATACATCACACAAGTTTTTCTAGTTTGAGAACTGGAAGGTGAGGAACCTTTAGAACTGGAAGACAAGTTCTGCAAAGATGTTTTAATACTGTGAGGGGGTGTACACTGTAAAGGTGCATCCTCACTTTGGTTTGCTCCTTTAATTCCACCGAATTCTCTAATTTTGGTAAAAGATGGTGATGAGCTATGTGATGTTGGAATGCTGTCAAGAGGTGTAAACTTCAAGGTCCCATCCTCCTTAAAGCGCACTCCTATGCATTCATCAGATATGCTTGCTTTGGAAGTGGAAGTGGAAAAAGATGGTGATGAGCTATGTGATGTTGGAATGCTATCAAGGGGTGTAAACTTCAAGGTCCCATCCTCCTTAAAGCGCACTCCTATGCATTCATCAGATATGCTTGCTTTGGAAGTGGAAGGTACTGAGTTTTCTGATGATGAAGTAATACTTTGAGGTGGTGTGCACTGTACAGGTGCATCCTCAGTATTGTCAGCTCCTATGCATTCACTGAACTCCGGTTTGGTTGATGAAAAATAATTTGTCAACTTGTTTTTCTGTATGATATGTCTCTTTCCTGGTGACTGTTTGGGGCTTCTATTCAATGTGTACTGATAACCTGCAGGCTGAAAACCATTATACTGAGCAGTCATTTCAAGGTTTATCTTAGAACTCTCATTTTCTGGCATCCTACTCTTGGTTTTATTTGCTCTAGACCTAGGATAAAGACCCCTGTTTGGATCTTTAGAGCTTGTTTTCACTGCCGCTGGGTTTGTCAGTGGTATGGCCCCCTCCTCACTACTGCTTCGTTCCTGACATTGTGCAGTAGTAAGTTGCACTTTTCTTCTCTTGGCAGCTTGTGTTTCACCAGAAGTTGGCACTGCAGAGGTTTGTTCACTCATTTTTGAAGCTTACAGACTGACCCTTCCTGAAAAAATAATTAAATAACTTTATTCACTGTCACATAAAAATTATGCATAGTGCCCAGCTTCATAAAGGATTTACATGAAACTGCTCAATAGAGTATGGACTTGCAAAACACATAATGCAATAATTGAGTGAACCAGGAACATATTATTCTTATTCGTTTCCTTTGCAGTAATCTGTTCCACTGTTGTGCTTAACTGCTAACTTAAGTTTCAATCTCACTTAGGCAATTGTGATTTTAATTTTCCCTAAAAAATTAAAAATCTTACCTGATTACAATCTTGCCTGTGACATATATATATACCAAAATTGTCAATAGGAATGCTGACGCATAATTTTTGTGTTAGGTGATTTTATGAATTTCATTACAAATACTCAACCAATTTCTATTGTTTTTTGCATTATGATAGACTTATATGGCAGTCATAAGTCATTTTATGTGGTTTTCAGGTTTATTCACACAGTTTATTAACCAATTAAAGTAACAGTCTAGTGTGGTTAAGACATTAAATTAGTGTCACACTCATATTCCGATAGCATAGATTAATCTATGCATAATCTATGCATAATTAATAGGTCAAAAAATAATACAATTAAGATGTATTGTCTCAGTTAAAGATCTTCCTACTTCAGGCCTCATAAATGATAATTGCTGTTTCTAACACAAGCCTTCGATTTTTGATAAATGAAAAATTTATTACTCTAGCCATGAATTAACTACCCCAATGTTAGCACTGTCGTACATATCAGAATAGGGAATGTCCGGGATAGCCTATTTTGAACATCTGCGCAGCAGATGACGTCAAACGAGACCTGGATTGGAGCGAGATTTCACAAGAGGTAGGGTTAAAATCTGCCATTGAAACTTCTCTCGCGTCTTCTCACAAGTCTATGTTATAGGATTGCATTAAGTAAAATTTGGCGGTGTCATGTAATTTGAGATAGAGCAACGCTATGGCAAATTACTAATGTTGTCATAGGGTGCATTGCAGTTAATGCTTAGCAAGAAAACCAGGAAAATGACCATGGATGACGGACACGTCTGGCGAGAGAAGTGAAGTAAAGAAAGAGAAGTTGATTAAATTAAAAGGACTAAGTGTCGACATATTTAAAGTACAGGTCAGGTCGTAGTATTTTGTAGGAAGAAAGGGACCAACTGCAGACAACTCGCACCCGACACGTCACTGGCTTCATGGCATCACCGTATAGACCGTATCATCAACAGTCGAGGGGCATGTTAATAAGTACTGAGTAAGTTTTGTGTGTAGTTTACAGGACATCATGGTTTATTAATGTAATACAGCCCTAGCACTTGTGATTAATAGTCTTTTACAGTAACTATATCAGACAAATTTGCTTATACCATTCCTGTCTCCATATAACGTGTACCTGATTATGAAATACTGGTGAACCTTCCACACCTANTTTGTCATTGATTTTTGCTGGCATTGGGTACTCTGACCTGTAACACAAGAAAACCAGGAAAATGACCATGTAGATGACGGACACGTCTGGCGAGAGAAGTGAAGTAAAGAAAGAGAAGTTGATTAGATTAGATTAAAAGGACTAAGTGTCGACATATTTTAAGTACAGGTCAGGTCGTAGTATTTTGTAGGAAGAAAGGGGCCAACTGCAGACAACTCGCACCCGACACGTCACTGGCTTCATGGCATCACCGTATAGACCGTATCATCAACAGTCGAGGGGCATGTTAATAAGTACTGAGTAAGTTTTGTGTGTAGTTTACAGGACACCATGGTTTATTAATGTAATACAGCCCTAGTACTTGTGATTAATAGTATTTTACAGTAACTATATCAGACAAATTTGCTTATACCATTCCTGTCTCCATATAACGTGTACCTGATTATGAAATACTGGTGAACCTTCCACACCTATTAAGTATACACAATGTTCAGTTGCATTTGTGACATTCCATGCCGGGTGGCCGGTTATAATAATTGCAAGTAAGGTAGAAATTAGAGTTGGTATTTTACAACAACGTTTATCACATAATGATATATATTTCAGAAAACTAAGTGAATTATTATTTTTTTTTATTTTAGAGCATGACAAACACAGCGCATGTTATTGAACCAGGCAAGAACTGTGAGGGACGTGGTCAGGATAAACAGATGTTGAAGATTGCTCAGTGTATATTAATCTCTTATGTCCTTAGTTATTATGTTGTTGACTTATTATATCAGTAATCAACAGATGGCATTTTTGTCTGGGTGTTACTTACAGTATCAGGCATTTTCTTTATTACTTTAAAATGAAATATTTGGTTTTATGAATATATATATAGGCCTATGTATTGTACTGCACTAGTAATTTAATGAAGAAAATAATTTTTCTTGCTTGTATCATTCTTATGTAACTGTAGTGACTTTTTAAAATAACTATTTGACACCTGTTTTTCATATTATTTACTGAGATCACAAATACAAGTTCGCCTGTGATGTTGTGTTTATTTGTTGTATTTGTGTATAACTGTCAATAAAATGCAATGATTTATGAAAAGTTCAACCTATATGTTGTCCATTTTAATACTTTCTTTTGTCATCTTTCCTGTCATTTAAGTCAAATCTGATCACAATGAAACTTACATTTTGTGAATGCTATTCATTAGCTTCTTTAGCATCATTTTCATCAGTAAATAAATGAAGAAAATCAACTTTATGATCAAGTTCCAGCCTTTAAATTTAGTGAAATTAAAACAAAGATGCTGGCAGGTCTAATGTTCTGATATGCCATCCATCAGAAAATGAAATGTCAAATGATTTTTTTTACTTCTTTATAAGTAAAGTTTAATAGTAAAAAAATTATAAAGAAAAATAAGTTGCAGTTATAAAGCTTTTGTTGTTCAAACGGATCTCATGAAATGACCAGTCAATGAAAAACAATGGTAACTAATGTTATTTTCCTGTACCACAAGCAAACCTCTGGTGATGTAGCCTGTTTAAACGCGACCTTTGCTGCGTAGTATGTCCTCCGGGCGAATTTTGCTTTGCAAGCGTCATCGGCTCTTAGCTTGGCAAATTCAACATGTCAGTTGTACGTACATATTATATCAATACTTTTTCTTTATAAAGTGAAAACAACAATAAGCCTGTAGCTCAAAACTTTTGTAAGTTCAGCTATTTTTTCAAGTAAAGAAATCGCTGCTCTACTTCCTTGTGGTCTCTATATTTTAACCCCACCTCAAGGCAGATCTCGTAAAATCACGGGGAAATATGGTCTTCTCGTTGAGAACCCGGACAGCCTCTATTGACCGTTCTTTATATAGTGTGACCACACAGTCAGTCTTTCCCCCGCTGCAGTTAAATTGTCTTTGCGACACTGCTAGATATTTTCTCATATTCTGTTGTTTATATAAACCTTCTGATTTATTGTTGAATATTATCATCTCATTACCTATTGTGCGCTCTTAGAAACGGGAGATTTAGCAATTTTTCTCATAACTATAACAGGGCGCCCTTTTTTTCTCGTTGTTGTTTAAAAATGGACATTAGTTTGTCGAGGCTTAATGCTTAGCTCTTATAACGTTACAAATGTATATTTATGTGCATTTCAACAATAAGATGTCAATTTTATACTTGACTGTTAGTGCCCGGTGTCGCACGTATGCTTTCTTACTACAGTGATCTAAAACAGGTCGCTAGTGCATTTTAATATAGCAAGATCTGTTCGACAAGACCTTTCTCCACGGCAGCCGGACACACAGTAATTGTACAGGCTTGGTTTTAGCTTGTTTGAGAAATGATAACAATGACGTTTAACAATAGATTGCAAGCTATAGTAAGCCCCCTCCTCTTTAACTGATGTCATACATTGTTAATTGACCGTACTTAATATAGTGTGAATCACACTGATCACACTGTCAGAAGTCCCCCTGTTGCACGCTAGAGTTTTAACAATTTGAAAATTGTCCTTGCGACACTGCTAGATATTTTCTCATATTCTGTTCTTTATATAAACCTTCTTATTTATTTTTGAATATTATCATCTCATTACCCATTGTGCGCTCTTAGAAACAGGGGATCTAGCAGTTTGTTTCATAACTTTGACAGGGCGCCCTTTTTTCTCGTTGTTGTTTAAAAATGAACGTTAGTTTGTCGAGGTTTATTGCTTAGCTCTTATCGCGTTATATTTGTGTGCATCAAAACGATATGATGTCAATTTTTTACTTGACTGTTATTGCCCGGTGTCGCACATATGCTTTCTTACTACAGTAATCTTAAGGCCGGTGATAGGGTTAAATACGCTTAAAATCATGTTTTTGAGTTTTTTGTGTGTTTATATTAATCAAAAAAGTATCTAACGTTGGATGTAATAATTTATATGAATTTGCATCGCAAAATGTGTCTTTTGATGAGTTTTTCAACCGGCACTCGCCCCAGTCAGGCTGACAACTAAGCCACGCCTCTGTTACTAAGGGCCGTTGCCATGAGGGGGTCGGAGCACAGTTAATGAGTTATAAGCCGATTACTTGTGCGGTAATAGGTCATAAGTCTTACATCAGCTTAGCAGCGAAGAAGTCTAGCTAGTACACTTTGGGGAAGAGAAAGGTTCATGTTAAAAGTCCTTTTCCTGAGGAAAGAAAGAAAATTTTGAAAGAGAGTAGGGCCTATGTGTGGCGGTTGGGGAAAACCGGTCCTATTTGTTCAGACGGATGACTGATTTCTGAATACCTAATAAATGGGCAAAAGAGTTAACCGAATCTTCTACATTAATTGACAAATGAAAGAAAAATCGATAAATAAAAAAACGCTAAAAAGGATACTTTTAGTAGCTAATATTTGCAATGTATATCGGCGAGCGTATCTGCGACACGTTACGAACCGGAAATGTTGTTGGTCGCCGTTTGCAAAAGGTAAATCTAATGTTGACAAAATAAAATTTTATTCTCCAAGATATGATATCATGGAGCTTGAAGTAATCACTGGATTTTTCCGTTGATCTGACGATTACCAAGTGTCGTGCAAAATAATCCTGCAGC